GGCAGGCGGGTGCGGGCCTGGCCGTGCCCAGAGCAGGCGGAGGTGCGTGAGGGGAGCAGCTTCTCGTCGGGACGCAGCAGGGGAGCAGGCCAGCTTCCTGACAGGCTGAGCTTGAGTCCAACGCCGGGTGGAGGGCTCCCGGGCAGCCAGAGGCTGGGAGAGAGGGAGCCCAGATGGGGGCCGGGGGGCGGGGCACAGACTGTGCACAGCTGGGCGTTTGCAGAGAGTAAAGCTGGGGCGCAGGGCCGGGGGTGGATGCCAGGCCGGGAGGAGGTGCTCCTGAGGGACCAGCGCAGTCCAGTCCCTCTGAGGGGTGTCGCCTTGGCCTTGGGGGGAAGTGGGCTCAAGTGGAGAGCCTTGCAGACACCTGGGGTCATGAGTGACCCTCAGAGGGTCCGGGGGTGGGTCCGGGGACAGACCAGGCCAAGCCTTAGGCGCTGGAACTGGCAGGACTGTACTTCACTGGGCAAGGGGAGGACCTGGGTGGTTTCTGGGTGTTTGGCTTGGGTGCTGGTGATCCTGCAGACTGAGCAAGGGATGCGGGTTGAGAAGGGCAGGTGACGGCTGGGCTGGGGTGCACTCTGCTCGGTCAGCGCCCACCTGCCAGTCCTAGACCCTCGGCAGGACCCCCGCTGAGGCGCCCTGACCGCACGGCTGCACCTGCCAGCTCAGCGCTGTGTGGGCAGCAGGAGGGGGATGCTCGGCTGGTGAGCTCGATTTCCCGCCGCAGTTCTCTGGAGCCCAAGCCCTCTGGAGCCGAGAGCCGGCAGTCCTGATGCCGGCTTTGCAGCCCCGGCGCATCCCCCAGTTCTCACGTGTGGAGCTGGAGGTCTGCGGGGCTTGTCGGTGTCCAGGGGGCTGGGCAAGCTGCCCCCGCAGCCGTGTCAGCCCAGCTGCATGTTGGCCAAGGAGATGCCCACCCAGAGGTCCTGGTCAGCTTCCCCAGCACACCGGGGAACAGTCAGAAACACACAGCAGCCCGGTAGGTGGCAGGGCGCCCAGCGAGGGGCCCTCTGCGAGGTCAGCTCAGTGGGGTCACAGGTCATCGGCTCATTGACCCTAAGTGACATCAGAGCCACCCTTCAGCCAGAAACTGCCGAGGCCCCCTCTGAGACTCCGTCAGAAGCCTGTGGCGTCCAGGGCCGCGTCCAGCTTCCTAGTCTCAGACCCTGTTCTCCCACTCAGGAGGCAGCCTCGGAGCGCCTGCGTGTGCACCGGTTTGTCTGCACCTGGCCACCTGTGCCTGTGTGTGTGTAGGTCCCTGTGTGTGAGCAGACGTGTGGACTTGTGCCTGTGTCTCTCACAGGCAGCCAGCCGCGCTGTCCACTTGCTCGTGCCCCTGGCTCCCTCCTGGACCTCAGCTCATTCCCCGGACTCCCCGGGCGCCAGAGCCAAGCTTCCGTGGCCTCCCCTACTGTGGCCGTAGGGCTGTGTGTCCGAGTGTCATTTTGCTGGGGGGTGGCGTGTGCTCAGGGTGCGGGCTCTGTGTGCACGTGCGTGGGCCTTTGTGCACGACGTGCCTGTGTGTGGGCCCGCGGCAGCCCCTGCACGTGGCCATACGTGGCAGGAAGTGGGGCCTGAGGGAGTGTGGCACAGGTGAGGCTTGTGTCCAGAGGGTGTGGACCTCGAGGCAGGCATTCTGGGCCCAGGCCCTGGCTGTGTGACTGTTGGGGAGTCATACCCATCCTACCCTGGGGCTGGGGATTAAATGTCATGACGTTGGCTCTGACATCCAGGGTCCAAGCAGGTGCCAGAAAGCCCTGATTATTTAAAAAGAGGAGTTGAGTCCAGGGTGTTGGCCCCAGAAGAGGCAGAGGAGCTAAAACCTCGGACGGGATGCTGTGATAACCCAGAACCTAGCAGTAGCATGAAGCTCCTGTCACCCAGGGCTGGAGGGACAAAGGGAGGGCGCAGGTCACCCAGTGGAAGCTGGCTCAGGGAGCTGGAACCACAAGGGACGTGGCCGTTGCCCTTGGCCCCCCCTCCTACCGCCCTGCAGCCTTCAGAGGCACTTCTCCCGGGGTCGTGTGACAGGCGGCCCATGGTCAGTGCTCAGCAAGTGTGAGAGCCGGGGGCCCGCCACCCAGAACCCTCAGGCCACCTGCCGGCGTCCGGCCTTTGACCCGACTCCGCTCCCTCTGGGAAGTCGCTGTGTTCAGGAGCCACCTGGCCAGAGTCACACTCGAGGGCCAGAGCTGCATCCAGCGACTGCCTGGGGGGGCGGCGCAAAGGCCGGGCTGCCGCGCCACGTCCCAGAGCAGCCCAGCTGTGCCTCCGCCCTCTGCTCCCTCCCCTTATGGGCAGGTGCCGACCCCAAGGTCAGTCCCTCATGGAAGTCCTGCAGGCTCCTCTCTGCCCGGGAGGCCCAAGGAGCTGACCCTGCCGTCCTCACCATGTCCTGGGTGCTGGGAAGCAACGTCGACACCTGGTCGCTGCACCAGGCCTTGGTGCAGCAGGAGAGCCGAACTCGGACGTCAGTTGGCGAGGCCCTCGGGAGAGGCCCGGGCAGTGGCCGGAGGGGGCTCCCCTGGGGAGCTGGGCCCCACTGGGTTTATCGTAGTGTCAGTGACATCGGCAACACGCTGGAAATAACCAGGTGCCTAGCAGCAGAGGACGTGTTAAATGAAACATGCTCCGCCCACCAGCTCTGTGGCCACTGACGATGGCGATTCATCCTGGAGTGTGAGTCCGTTTCAAAACTAAGTAGTGGAAGCTGCGTGAGCCCGCTGTTCGGAGGAACAGACACCACCTGTACACACGTGGAAACACAAGGAGCGAGGCCAGGGGATGCCCACCAAGACGTTTCCGTGCTTTTCTCTGGGGTTTAGGATTACGGTGTGTTTTGTTAGGGCTTTTATAATTAACTGTATTTTCTGTTGCTCCACACGGACCAGAACGTTCTTCTAACACCACAGCCCCCCGACCCGCCCCGCCCCGCCGGCTCGAAGCCTCTGAAAGCATGTGGCGGGTGCAGCCTTGCGCCTGGGCGTGGGTCCAGGGTGCCGGCCCTCCCTTCCCGCCGGCTGTCGGGCCCAGGGGCGACCCCTCAGCAGAGCCCGGATCTCCCTGAGCAAAGAGCTTCCCGCCTGCTGAGCGGGCAGTGGGGGTGTGAAGCCTGCCGAAGGGATGTGGGGAGACCAGGCGGGGTCCAGGGTACGTCAGGGTTGCGGGGCCGGGGAGCCGAGGCGGCAGGAGGGGTCTTGAAGCTACTCAGACGAGCACTGGCAGCGAACGTCCACTCTGGCAGTCGTGGCCCTGGCACGGGGGGTGCGGCGCTGAGCAGACGGGAGACCCTCCCCCGGGGGCCCGGAGGTCGCTGGAGAGACGGACCGGACAAAATCCAGGCTAGAGGGTGTCACGCAGTGGAGAAGACGTGGGGCCGGGGGGCCAGGAGTGAGGGCTGCCCGCACACACCCGCGCAGCTGCCTGGCTGCCCGCACCCAGACCAGGAGCACCGCGCGGCCCCGGCCCGGGACCCAGCCCTGCCAAGTCCGGGTCGCGCTTAAGGAAGACACTTCCGCTTCGTACCTGACAACCTGCCTCGTTAAATTTAATGGGCCGGTTGTTCCCGTTAAATAAACATCAACTAATTAGGAAAAACATATTTGCTGAGGTTTGGCTATGGAACGGATAAACCAATTACATGGTTATTCAGCCTCAAGACACACGCGGCCATGAGGAGGGCGCAGACCACAGCAGCGAGGGCTGGTGGAGCCCCGGGACTCGGAGGCTCCCCACCGCAATCCACCTCCTCCCCAGGGCTCGGTGGGCCCCCAGAAGGTCACGCTGGAATGACACTCCAGGCTCCTGGAGCGCAGGAGTCCGGGCAGGGTGGACCCAGAAGGGCGCCGACTCCTGCCCTGCACGGGCCAGGACCCTGCAGCACGAGGGACTAACCCCTACTCAACTTGACAAGCGAGAAGAGTGCTGGCTTGTGTGACAGAAAAGTCCAGGAGGAAGTTTCAGGCATAGCTGGATCAAGGAGCCTAGACAGAGGCGTCAGGATCCGGCCGGTCTCCTTCCACCTCAACCCTGCTGTCCGCCCTCATCCTCGGGCTCCTCGAAGGGCCCAGGGACTCCTGCCTTACAAAGAGTTTCTCCTTCCCTTTAGGTCCAGCTTGGGGGTTGTGGGCAGACAACAAACCGCCCTCGAGCTGACACAGGGCTCTTGGGGAGCCCAGGAGACATGAAAAAGTGCCCCACAGCCTTGATTCATCAGGGAATTGCAGAGAAATACCCATGCGATGGCTGGAGGTGGAGGCCAGACAGCGCAGCTGTGGGTGCTTCTGCTGGGTCGACACCCCGAGATGAGTGCGTGTGTCGCCTTGAGGGCCATGTAGGGTTGTTGGCACGGCGGCAGCCTCGGCGTTGGAACCGCCCAGATGTCCAGGGCCAGCGATGGGTGCACTGAGGTCCGTTTTTCCACGAAGCGCTGCTGGCAACAGAGAAGCGCAAACCGGCGCTCCCGGAACTGCCTGGATGCGCCTTAGGCATCTTGTCAGCAAGAGAAGCCGGGCGGGGAGGACTTCCCACCTGACCCTGGCAGCTCGCAGCCACGTCTCTGTGGCCAGGGCCTGGGTGCAGCCCAGCAGGTCCCCCGCTCAGTGTCCCACAAGGCTGCCGTCAGGCTGTGGCCAGGCGGGCTCCCCTCCCTCAGCAGGGCCAGCGGCGGAGCCTCTTGGAGACGTACGGGAGTCCAGCAGTATCCTCCACCTCTGCTGTCCTTTCAGAGTCACGCAGCAGAGCGACTCGCGGGGCACCTGGCGTGTCTGCCTCGGAACTGGGTGCTTCCACTTATGTGACCTCCGAGAGGGAGAGGGAGGGGTCCCGAGGCGGCTCTTGTGGGATGGCCTCCAAAGCCTGTTAGTGAGAAAAGAAGACGTGCAAAGGTGGTTCGGAGCAGGTGTACAGGTGCGCCTTTCAGCAGACAGAGAGGCAAGAATATCCTCGTGCGTGTTGCTGCCAGGACGCAGGACACGGGACAATTTTCACTCCCAGGAGGTGACCTCGGGGCCCAGCGGGGGGACATACCTCTTCACTAGGGGGTCCTTTCGTGCACCACTTGGATTTTTCTTTTTGCCATGAGCATAATATTTTAATAATTAAAAGGCCTGTTTCAATTGTTAAAAAACCCCAAAAGGCCAGCCCTCTTGGAAGGTAAAGGAGTCTGGAGCAGCTGTCCCACCAGAGGGGTTGCCCCCTCCTGACCCTGACATTACACTGAGCAAGGGGGAGGGGGCTTCAGTCACACGACTCCAGTAGATCCAGTGAGCTGCCACGGTTGTCCTGGCCAACAGGTAGGGAGAGCACACCTGAGAATGCAGAGGCAGGCAGAGCTGAGAGAGAGATGCCCGGTGACATGTTTGGGCCTGTGGATCCACCCATGCCTGAAGCCGAGACCTCCTTGGACCCTTTCAGAGAAGCAAGTCAGCGAATGTGTTGCTGGATGAAGCAAAGCTAGGTTTTCATCAAGGCTTGTCCTGTCCTTTGTCTATGTCTGGTGTCCACTCCGGCTGTTAAGCATCTTGAATGTCACCTCTGGTGTTTGTCCCAAAACAGCCCTGCCGGCCCTGGAGGGGGTTTCCAGTGAGCCAGCTTATTCGTTCAGGGCCCAGCCCCTGACCGGCCCCTTTCTGCTGCCCCCTGCTCCTTGCAAGGCCTGTGCCCAGGATGGGGAGGCAGCATGGCTGACTGTTGCCCTCCCCGCCAAGGACACAGAAGATACGGGCTGGTTCTGGTCCCTGCCAGGGACCCTGTGACGGCTCTCTATGGAGGAGACCCAGGCCCAGAAACAGATGGCGATGTCCACGCTGCGGTCCAGAGCCCAGGGCTGCTGCTGGCCAGGCTGTGGGCTGGTGCTTCAGGAAGGCTTCCCTGGAGAGGAGGGGCTGCCCCGGGGCCACGGGCAAGGTCAGCAGATGACCTCGTGGCCACAGAGGAGCAGCATCACATGCAGAGCTCGTGGTAGATTAGGGAAATCACAGAGCTTCCTTCCATCTGCGACAAGGCGGGGCAGTGCAGGAAGGGGGTGCCCAGCAGGCTCAGCGTGTGCCCTGGGCACGGGTTCCTGTGCCTGGGTTCCTTGCTGTGCAAAGGGACGGTCACAGCCCCTCCCTGGCCGGCGGGTTGGGCTGGGGAAGGAAGAGCTGTCGGGAGAGCTCCCTGCCCCGTGTTTCTGTGGATCTCACAGCGACCCTGGGGGCGATGCCATCTGCCCCGTGACCGGAGATACAGAAAACGCACCGAGGGGTGGGCACGTGATGGGAGCGGAGCCCGGGGAGGGGGCTGGGACCCCGTGTTTCTGCCCCCGAAGCCTGTGCTCTTCTAGATGGAGCCCTCGTGGCACAGGGACGTTCTCCAGGGGAGGGTTTTCCCAGAAGGGGTGACACCGAGGGGACTGTGGGTGGTTCCAAAGCCTCCCCAGAAATTCCAACTTGCCTCTCCACTGCTGTGCTCACCCTGAGGCTGACTGTGCCCACGGGGCAGGCAGCCACCGAGGGGGCACGGGGCAGGAGGCGCATCTGGGCCTGAATGCTGGGGAGGCTCTGTCCAGCCGAGTGGAGGGCCGGGCCTGCCCCGCTGCATCCCCACGTCCCCGCAGAGACCCTCAGAGGCGGTGCACGGTGCTGTTTGAAGCTACTGGATTCAGGGCCATCTGTCGTGCGGCAGAGAGTGAATACGCGGACTGGTACCTCGTGTCCCCACCCTGAGATGAGGCCCTGGCTTCCTGGGATCTCCCCGCCCCACCCCATGATGGAAATACCAGGGCGTTGGTGCTGTCGACTCTGAGTGGGTGGGGCCAGCCTACAGGGAGCAGGTAGTGTCCCTGAGGAGGTGACATGAGCTCTGAGCCTGGAGACCAGGAGACGAGGGCGGCCGGGGGGTGGGGGCAGGGCGGCAGGGCAGGCCCAGGACACCTGCGGGGTCTCTGCCGGTGGGACATCTGCCGTCTAACCTGCTCGTCCACGGGGCCAGCTCTGCTTCCGGAGGTGGTGGCGGCAGCAGAGCTGGGCCTGGGTCAGAGCAACAGCAGGGGTACCCTCTTACCTTCTGATTGTGAAATCATCATCATCTGCAGTAACAGTAGCTTCACGGGAAGCTGGGAAGATAGTGCGCAGGCCCCATACCCTCTCCTGGCCTCCAGCATTCACATCTCAGGAGGCTGTCGTACAACGTGGAAACCAGGACGCCGGTGTCCACACCAGGTCCCTCATCACAAGTGGACTCCTGGAACGGTCACCGCGAAGGAGATACAGAACCAGCCTTCCCCGCCCCCCAAGCCACGAATCTGTTCAGCACCACCAGTCTGTCGTTGCAGAGATATCCCAAAAGGGTGGATTGTGAAGCGTTGGGGTTGACTCTGCCCTCTCATCTGTGTTGTTTGCTGGCTCCCGCGGCTGGAGCGCGTGCAGGGTGGCACGTAAGTCAGCGCGTGTCTGATGCTCAGCGGTAGCTGTGGGCTGTAGGCTCCGCTCCGCAGGAGAGGGGCCCAGTCCCAAGCGCAGCCTTTCCCTGTTCCCCTGTCTGCACGTCTGCGCCCACGTCGCAGCTGTCCCAGGTGCGCCGTCTTCTGTGCTGAGACCTCCGACGGCAGGAGTGGCGGCGGCTTCAGCGCAGCCCCGGTTCTCCGACCCTCTCCCCCGTTGCTTCCTGGGGGGAG